GAAGATTTTTTTAATTTACTGTTTTATAGGCAAACATTTTGAAGATTCACTACCAGGGAATCTATGTTGATTACATGTAACAATCATCAGTAAAAAAAACCCAAAAATACAAAAACAAGGAAATGAGTAAAAAAAAATTTATTATTATTGACTGGAGAAATAGAATGAAACAAGAATGTATACCTATGACAGGATATTATCTTCTGTATATTAAGTTTTACACACCTGAAAAATATGTTAATACAAATAATTGTTGTCATGTTAACATTGCAGGTTTCAAGCTGTCTAAACCAATTTTACATTCTCAATGAAGAATGTTTAACATTTTGAACCAAAAACAGTACAGCACGAATAATTAAAGGCTTAAGTTAAATACATAGACAGTCATTTAAATTTAGATCTGCAATAACATTTACTATTATTCTCTAAGGCTTTGACTGTGCTTGACAGAAACAAAGTACTCTGGGATTAATTTCAAGAAATGGTGCCAACTGTGCGCAATTTGCTGTAATTAAGACATGAAAGAGTACTAAATATTCAGATTAAAAGAAGCAAGATGGAGCATGATAGAGAATCAAGGTGTGGCATAAAGCCAATAAAGCGGAGTCATTCATGAATACCCAATAATGATTGATATGAAACTTAAACCAATACCATTGCAGTATGTGTTTAAAAATTGTGTGCACGCAGCTTAAAATGAGAGTACATTTTATAGGAAAATGTTTTTGTTTGTCTTAATTTAAAGACAAAATTTTCTACATGGCAGCTTAGAATAACATTAAAACAAACAAAATTAAAATGTTATAATTATTGTATTTTATAGGAATAGTAAGTTTAAGTAGTTGGGTTTGGGGAAATAAAATGGTATTATTATCTCTTTGGTGCTGGGATTTCCCTATGTACACATTAATCTATAGTCGTTTGTTATAGTGCCAGTCCAAAGAGCATTGGAGACATTGGCTCCAAGAGGTTAAATATCTTTTTTATTTTTATGAAATTTCTTTTTAATTTTTTTAAAGGAAAAGCATTCAATTAGATCAAAGTATATTTTTTTCTCTTACTGTCAGAATTATGTGGAATATTTTTCTTTGTCTTTGGATTTATAAGTATTGATTTAATGATCTATTTATTGTAATGCTAAATCTTTTCTTCAACACGTTTTTATAACTTAAATTCCTTTTAACTTTGTGATCCTAGAAGAGATGTAGGTATTTGACCCAGTTGCTAATGAGGTGCTGTATAATTTCATGTATCCTATAGCTCAAAATAGCAGGATGCAGTATAAAAAGTACATCATAAAAGGCACTATTGGAATGTTTTTTGTCTTCACAGGCAATACGCAAAAGAGATGACCTTCTGAGAAAGTCGGAAGCTGATCTCCTGCAGACAAGGGAAGGTATCAAAGCTAAAGTTGCTGAGGTGGAGCACCTTGACAGTGTGGTCAAGAAACTGAAAGCAAGTATCCAGGACACACAGAAAGAAAAGAATCAGAAGAAAAGAGAAGCCATCATACTGAGAACTGAGATTCAGCAGCTAAATCAGGAACTGCAGGGTGTGCATAAGCAGTACAGAGAGACAGGTAATAATGTACAAAAATAGTAATATTACTGAAATGTGAATTTGGCGCAGTCTAATAGAATAGAATTCTCCGTCATATGGATATATGATTGCTGTAATCAAATGAATACAAAAAGGTTCCCTGCTCTGCTTTAGGGTGAATTTGCAGCTGGAGACAGCAACTTTATCAAAACAAAATAAACATACCCGAATACTTTATTGTTACACATACTGTAAGGTATTTGTAAAAATTTAGTTAAAAATCTAATTCTGTCTCAGAATGCCGGCTAATTCACTGACAACAGAAATTATAATTTGAACCTATCAATTTTTATATTATTATTGTTTCAGTGTACTGTTTTGTTGATCTGGTGTGATTAATGCCCATTATATAGAATTTTATAGTTCTATCTGTAACACATTCGTGAATTGAAGACATAAAGCTTTTCTCAAGTGGATATTATCGACAAAACCAAAATAAGTTGCAAACAGTATTGCAGGTTGAATTGTACAGTACAAGCAGCCATTCAACAATGACTGATAATCTACTTAAAATTATTTTTGCCCGGTATTTTGAGCCCTTGCAGACTACATATATGTTAGAATTATTTTTCTAAATAAGCAAATTCAATAAGCAGATGGCATTATTAATATTATAGAGATATGGTATAGTAAAGTTTTGAAATATATTACTTTTACGAAATAAAATATTAATGAAGTCATTGGGAACATAATAGACAGCCTGTGTCAACCCCTTAATTTTCTCTTCCACTATTCACAACATTGCCAGATACATGTTTCTGGATAAAACCCCCTAGAGGTCTGCTGCAAATTCTTTTTCAATACAACCAGATCATTGCAGATAATTGTATTACACAGGGTATTGATCCAAAATCGTTGTGCACCGGAAACATCTGAAAAAACATGATTATAGCTTTCTGTTTATTGTTCGTACATCATATAAGCAGGCTTTTGTGTGAATCACCTGTAAGGAAGGCAAGGTGGAAACATCAGAGAAATTACCTCTTTACAAGAATCTATTGATCACTTTAAATCAAAGAAGTATGTTTGACATAAGATTACCTGCCAGTTTGAACATTAGGTACACTATGTTATAGCCTGGGGCAGTTGTAAGTCTGACAAAGGGATTGTAAATAAAGCATGCAGCTGCTAGTGCCTCTGGCTTGGGATCAACCAAGGCTCAAGTCCAAGGCATAGGTAAACCTAAAATAAGTTAACTCTTTTTTTACCTGCACATTGTGAATTAGAGTAGATTCTTAAAGAACCATGAAAAATAAATCAAATTCATCGTTTAGACTGGGCATGCCACTTAGAAAATACACATAGCTTGATATGTTTACAAATCAAAACATTTATACACATATGAGAGGAGTGCTACAAGTTACCTTTGTCTCCAGGCAGTAGATCATATATCCTAGACAACTTCTGAAAATGTTTCTAAGTGGTACAGATAAAAATATTTTAAATGTAATTAACATTAACTCTTGTAAATCATGTATTTGAATAAAACTCACTTGATGTTCAAAGTTTTGTTTTACAGATAAAAATCAAAACTTAACATTGACAAATTTTAAATAGAAGTAGTAAGTATTGCATTTAATATGTTTTCAGTTTCCAAACTGAGGACCCAAAACACACAGATGATTAACTTTACTTGTGCAAGTAGTCTATTTGATCTCAGGGGGACTAAATCCATGACTAAACTTACTCACCTATGTATTCACAGGATTTGGACCTAAATCATCTATACGAAGAAAGTGGTGATTTCCCATTTATTTCTTGTTGAATGATGGGAGCTAAATCTTCTCTACACAAGAATTGTTTTAGCCTAAAGGGTTTATTTTAAAATTTGAAAGCAAACTTGTTATAAGTTGTTTATTAGCTTTTGTCCATATTTTAACATGTGTTGAAATTATTAAACATTTAACTCATTTGTTCACAGAGATTCAGATGTAGTTGTAGTTGGGATTTAATAAAGATGAGTTATGAGTGATACATGTTCCTTGTTAAATATTTAGCTGTTCAGGTTAGCTGTGTGGTTTCTGGAGGCACTAATTTAAACAGTTAATATATAGTACTTTTAAGTTACAGAAATTGTAGGCATGGTATTGGGTTTTGTTTGATTGGGGAGAAGGGGATTTTTGGGGGGTTAACGAGGGGAAAACAGTAGACCGCTTATTTTTTAATTTAAAGAAATTGACCTGCTGTTCAGAATACACAAATAATTATGTAATGGTAAATCAGATACTTGTATTTAGATCCTGTGTATCTGGGCAATACTGTTTGACAAAGCTGTGTGATAAATGTAGAATATTTTGACAGAGTACTAGCACTTTATTTCTTTAAAGGCTACTTTATATGTAAGGATGCACAAACCAGTTTCCAACTTCATTGGAGCTTAATATACATACCACTCTTTCAACAATACATTAGGATCATTACAAGGAAAACATTCTCTATGATAATATAAACTTATGTGTTATGATTCTTACTGAACTGTTGCTACTAAAAATCACTTCAGTATTTTTTTATTTTTAGTATCAGGGTTTGGAATCATCTAAATACCCCTTAGTTATAGGCCTTCTTGTTATACAGTACCCTTCATTGGAAAATGCTTGTTCCAATAATCAATTTAATTTCACAATACCTTAAAATTAGATTACATAGCTAAATGTGCACATACATCTCTGAAGCATATACCTATGGAAAGATATTAAAACCAGTTACATATATATGTATACATATGTGCTAAGGGGCAAATATTTAAATTAAAACCTATGTACACATTTTTTTTTAGGAATATGGTACACAAAGAACAAAGGAAAAATGTCTTTGTCTTGAATCACTTATTTTTCTGAGAGAGCTGGAAGCAAGCTACTATGGTTTCTTTTGGTCTAATGAAAGAGTGCCATCTATTGGATGACCTTGGGAAATAAATGTGTTTGTACTATGTGTGTACTCTATAATTCATGAAAAAATGTAATGAAACAGAAGATTTTCAGTTAAAATTGTATGTGTTTGAATTGTGGAACTAAAATCTATTCAAAAGAGAGGTAATAAATACTAGATTAAATTACCTTATGAAATGTTAAAGCAATAGCTGTGTGCTTGAAAATGGTGTTAAATACTGAATATCTACATATCTAGTAGGATTTGATTGCAGTTTAATGTTCAAAAATATTGAACTAAATTATCTTTATTTGACTTTACTGAAGTGCATGTGAAGATACTTAAGTCAGCTATTAATTTATTGGTGGTGGTTTATTTTCTTTGAAATATCTGGAAACTGAATGAAGCTCTTCTGAAAACAAGTATTTGTCTAGCTCTTACAGGGATTTGCATTGTATTATATTTAAAACAAAAATGTCATCTAGGTTTGATTTTAAAATGCAATGCTTTTTTTAAATCTTTCAGCTCCAGAACTTGCCAGTCAAGATGAAAAACTTCTTCTAATGGAATCCAGCTTGAAAGGAACTCAAGAGCAGCTAAGTGAGCAAATAACAGAAACAGTTCGCCAAGAACAGAACAGTAGAAAATCACAGACAGAGCTGAAGACCCTGAGAGAACGTATTATAGCTTCTGAAGAAGGAATTAGGGATTACAAGTGAGTTACTGCTTTTTTAGTATTTTAGGAAGTTTTAACAGAAGATATTAAAGTCAACAGTAATTCCTTTTGTTAAATACTGTATTGTTTATCTCAGGTAAGATGTGGTATAAGTATGTGCTGCTAATCTATTGAATAAACTGTTAAATCTGAACTGTTGATTCATGTATGCTGTAAAATATCCTTTATTCTTAACCAAAAATTCAAGGTTTTAAAAAAGCCACCATACTAGTATCAGTTATCTCTTTTACTTCTTTACAAATGTAAAAGGCATGAGTGTTGAAGAAAAATAATCCATTTTATTTATACAGTGTCCATCTGCTAATGGCATTCTCATCTTCCTCTTTTTTAGAGTCCAAAGGTTACATATGGCTCTTATTGTATTTCTTTTTTGTTAAAGAAACTGCCTTTAAGCAAGATGCTATCAAATCAAGTAAATTTAGAGTTTGAACTTCTAGTCACAACAACGAGACACATACAAGGTTGCTAAAATAAGCTAAAGAAAACATATATATTTTTTGCATACTGTACTATATAAAAGTTTACTATTGGTGATGTAGTCCTCTGTTCTCATGGGTCAAATTTAGTATCTGTTAGACTTCATATTTACAGAAAAAATTCAAATTGAAAAGTACTAATCTTTTGGGTTTGGGTTTTTTGCAAAAATAAATTAGTAAAACTTTAAAAAAGGTATTTTCATATTCACATGAGTCAAAATTGATTAATTATTTATCTTTTCAGGATCTAGAATTTTATGAAAATGACTCATTTAGCTGAATGCTTTTTCTTTTGTTTGTATTATAAATAGTTTCACTCACTGAAGTTTTGTTACACTGAGTAATCACTAACTCAAATGAGAGGCATTTCAAGCTGTTTTATAATATCATAGAGTACAGTTGTACACTTTCTACAGGTTAGCCTAATATAAATAAATAAATAAATCTGTTCATATAGCGATGGATTGAACTTTTAGAGCAAAATTCTTATCTAAGATATGTGGCAAGCAATAGAGCATATCTCAAAAAATCCACTTCTCTGATAGCAGTGTTGTTGAGATTAGTGGCAATAAGCACTATGCTTCTAAAATCAAAATATGGTCCCTGTTCTTTATATAATTAAACACAATAATTCTGTAATTTTTGATGTTCAGTATAAGTGATTTTTACATGTTAAATACTCTACCATTTTATAGTTCAAATAGTTGATTTATCTGTTGGAAATGGAGCACACGCCATGGAAAAACACAATCTACAGGAAATGTCCTCATTCCTTTACATAAAATAGCTCAGTAGTTCTCAACCTGTAGATTGCATCCCTAAGGGTATCACCAATGCTGCTCTGGGATGGGGAATGTCACAAATCTGCTTTCCTTATTTCTCTTAAATCTTTTGCTAAAGTGGGTTTATTCACCCATTTTCAACTGATTACTCTGTTGCCCAAACCTCATAAACTGTTGTGCCAGTTTCTGTAGCACTTCCTTTCAAGTACCTGGGGTTACCTATTTAACGAAGGCATCTGATGCATATCTGAGAGGAGCAGTTGTGAGTGACTGAATGTGAGGCTGTGATATGAAAAAGGTCAAGGCACCCTGAAATAGGTGGTGTAACAAAATGACTGATAGAAGAATTTTTTGCAAAACTTGTTAGCTAAAATGAAGCTTGTTAATGGTGGAACAGAAGGCAAAATTAAGATTATTAGAATGCTCACATGAAACACACTTAACTATAACTTTATATTATACATTGCATACACAAAGTAAAACTGCTTTTTAACTTGAAAAACTGGTAAATTAACCTACAGCTTGCAGTTTGGATTATTATAGTCAGAAATATTGTTCAGTTGTATCTGAAACTTGTGGTTGTGTCAGTAAAATGTGTGAAATGAACCTTCAGTCGGAGAGAGATTAAGTTAGATTTATTTGCCCCCACTTCTAACCCTCAAGTTAAATTCTAATTTCTTAGTTGTGACATCATTGCTTTATAAAAGTACTATGACTCTTTACTGCAGAATTATGCAAAGGGAGAAGTATTTGTTGTATTTGCCAGCTTATTTTTAAATAACTATATTCAATAGTTAATAGCTATGACAAGGTTAGTGTAATAAAGTTAAAAAAAACAGCTACGGAAATTCAGACATGTTTAAATATTATTGTCCCTCTTTAAAATACAATTTTGTTACCTATTTAAGATTAATCATGTGGAGAGGTCAATAGCTGATTAGATAATGCTAAGATCTGTTTCTTGGAAGAGAGAAAGGACAATGGGTCTCTCTCCCCTGGGTTTGCTGGGGCTTGAGGTGTCATAGAGGTGATGCACAGTCTCTGTGTAAGGTACAGCATGTGTTGTAATGTAGCATCCTCTTGCAGCTGACTTTGTGAAAGTCATACAGTCCTGGTATCAGCTTACCTTCCTACTTGCTAAGTGAATGAGGTAAATGCAGTTGGTTTGAAGGCAAGAGGGTAGTTTGGTTTGTTGAACATGAAGAAAATGCAAGACAGTATAAAGCGGTGGGTGAAAGCCTCACACCGCAGTGGTCTTGAGGCTAACTTTATGTTGTAGCTGTTGTTGGGGGGAAGAGTCTATTCCTGAATGCTTTTTATTTTCCTGCTGCAAAAACATAAGTTAAAAAGTTATTTTTCAAGAAAGTGATAAAAGATAAAATGATTGGATAGGATAAAAAAAGTTCAATATTTTCATTGGTATTTATCAGAATAAAAGTGAGAAATCATCAAAATATTTCCTGATTTTAGTGGACACGGTGGTTAGGACCCGTAAAATGTCTAATCGGTAGGAAATATTTGAGAGTTGCAAGAAGTCACAGGATTTGTTTTATTTTTATTTATTCTCGATGAACTAAACGTAAAGTTAAAAAAACCAACCCAACCCCACAATGTAAGCCTGTTATATTTGAAAGATTTGTTCAGAATGTCCAGTGGGAACCTGGAAATCGTAATAATTTGTAGTATCGATTGTGTGAAGCTATGCAGCCGGAGCCCCGAGTGAATAGACAGAAATAGACATTTTATTGATTAACTTTTACAGTCATATTTTCAAGACTCTGGTGCAACATAATTTTCACTTCCCAGCTTTTGTGCTGCTGCATCATGAAACTTGGATTCTTCTCTCTTAACACTTACCCACTTGAGGGAAACAGTGTGGGCTTATCTCTTTCAGGTCTGTGCTCTGTAGAGATGCATAATTTTCTGCACAATGATTTGTTCTAAAATTTCTTTCTACTTGTACTGTAAAGTAAAAAGGTACCATCACATCATGAAAGTCTTTAGAAATAATATGTTAATAACTACTTTGTAATTGCTTCTAGTAGTTTTCCTTTGTTTTTGCATTTTGTTTTATTTTTTTCCCCTTAAATTACTGAGAGCTAAGATTTTGGCATAAAAAGAATTGTTAAAAATAATTTCTCCACAATGGTGTTTTCTTCTCTGTTACATTTTTAAAAGGAAAAGAAGGAACTACAACACTGAAAATATAAATGTATTCTCAGGAGGAAATTCTTTGTTTTCAGGAGTATTGAAGTCAGTGTCAAAACCCATAGTGATTTCAGTAGGGCCACGATTTCACCCTAAATATTTAGAAGCTATTTTAAAAATATTTAAGTGTACATAATTCTTAACTAGATAAACCACAGCGATACTTATTGTGCAGTCCTCATGGAAACCAATTTCAGAAAAGTATTAATGTATATTTGCCCTAGACAAAATATGTAGTATTTGAAAGAATATTAATACACTGTACGTATATGCACCAGCCTCTTCAACTCGCATAGATATATGCAATAACTTTTTGTTGACTTTCAGCAAAAATCCAGATTGTTATTACTTGTTTTATTGTATTTAATAATTGTTCATTATCACCTACATTATATCCTAGCTCACATTGATTTGGGAACTTGTCTTAATATAAAATAAGCCAGAGTCTCAGCTGATATAGTCACTAAAGTGATCATCTGAGGATCAAGCCCATTGTTTTATCTTAAATTATGTTAATATTAATTTGTTTTATATGTATGTATTTTGCTCACTGTTAAATACATTTGTTTGACCCCCACCATTGGTAGCATCTGGGTGCACTGAGGCAATAAACATCCCAAGTAGTTCCCAGTGCTCACTTTATTTACGTTAGTTCATCTTTAAGTCTAACCTAGAGCAGTATCCATGTTTTCTTTCAAATCCAGAGACATGCTTAAAAAACTTCCATTACAATTAACAGCATCAAAGACAGCTCAACAGCAAAAGCTTCATGGAGCTCTCAACAGGCAGCAGTTAGAACCAGTATCAGCCATTGAACAAGTAAACAGTCTGAAACAACAGGTGAGTTTGCTTATATGTGAAAAAGCAATTCTACAGCAAACAGAGTACGGTGTCATATCATAATTGCATTTTTGGGCCTCAGTCTTGCAAACACTTAGGCATGAAAGTAATTCTGCAGAAGCCAAAGTAACTACTCAGGGAACAAAGCTACTTGTGTTCATTTGCGGGACTGAGGCCTAAAATTGCATTAATTATATAATGTTCACGGTTGGTGAAGTGTAGCTATATGTGTGTGTTTTACTGAGCTATAGGGATTACGTTTGGAATTGTGATTTGAAAATTATTTGTAATAAGTGAAGTTACCTGATGTGATTAGCTAGTTTTAAGGGCCAGTTGAAGACCGGCATCTCAGTTATTTTAGCTATCTCACTAAGAAGAAACTGAAAGTCTGATCAGTGTTAACTAATTTGTACTTTTGTTATTATGGATATAATATGGATTTTAAATGAGAGAGTGGTTATGTTAAACTATAATTAAAGAGTAATATGGCCATGACCCAATTAACTTTCTAATCTTACTAGTAAAACTGTAGAACAGTAAATCAGGATTTTGGTTTACAGTAGGGCTGTCAATTCATCGCAGTTAACTCATGCGATTAACTAAAAAAATTAATCATGATTAAAAAAATTAATCGCAGCTAATCTTAGTTTTAATCACACTGTTAAACAATAGAATACCAATTGAAGTTTATTAAATATTTTGGATATTTGTCTACATTTTCAAATATATTGATTTCAATTACACACAGAATACAAAGTGTACAGTACTCACTTTATATTATTTTTATTACAAATATTTGCACTGTAAACATGATACACAAAAGAAATACTATTTTTCAATTCACCTCATGCCAGTACCATAGTGCAATCTCTTTATTGTGAAAGCACAACTTACAAATGTAGATTTTATTTGTTACATAACTGCACTC